CATTTCAATAAAAACACAATGTTTTTAGTTTCGATAAATCATTTAAGCTTTTGCTGTCATCTCTTCCCCATTTCTTACTATTTTACAATAAGTGAAACAGCGCCCCTCTGAATGCTATGCGTTGGATGTGTGGTGAAACTCTATATTGCACCACCGTAGACTGGCCTGCAGTCTGACTACACGCGGAGGCCAGGCAGAGTTGGCATCCCTTTGTGAAAAAAAATGAAATTAACCAATCAGATGAGGCTACTGTCATGCCACTGCCTAACTGTGATTAGTCAGGATGATGCCAAGGGAAGCCAGCCACTGATCAATGTCATTCAGATGAAATAACTGGAGCTGTTAGTAACTTTAGCTGGTGCAGTTATGGAGGGTGGAGTTTTTAGTTATGAATAGTTTTACTAAACTACCACTACAGCATCAGCTTAAGATTACATCTGACGGAAGACCAACGCCAAAACTGGATCTGCGCGTGGAGAGGAAAAAGGAGTTTCGGACGTTCAATGAGGAAAACTATAACGTTATCGGTGCAGAGTGGCTAGCTGGTAGCACCAAACTTCAATTGACTCTCTTGTTGTGAAGGACCTAAACGCCAGTTGGAAATTCTATAACTTGTCTATTGACCACTTCACCACCATGAAAGACAGGAGAAAGCCCTTCCTTTTCAAATAGGATGAGGGAAATGTCACCTCCTTCTCTCTATGAACTTCACTGAACTGTAGCTATGTGTGCGATTTTTGATGTGGTTATATGTTTATTTTGCTTTGCTGGCCTGGATTTAGCTGCGAATGAATAGTCTGCTGAAGTAACCTTGTTTTTACTGTGGTTGTGTACACATAGATAATGAGCACCACAGACAGAACCTGCCACAGGGCACTGGGCCAGGTTAGGCTACCTGAATAATTGTTTTCACTCTGTTGGTCTGATACTCGGTTGTTGTTGTTCAGTCTTGAGTGACGTTGTGTTGTGAACATTTGGCCAAGCATTAAGAAGTATGTAAGCCTATTTGATACATGCACCACTGCTACTATGCAAATGTCTTCAATCGTCTTCTGATTGAGCTTGTGAATGCTTCTTTTATTCTTAACTGAAGCACTATACTACTGGGTGCACTATAAGCAGCTGGCTTAGGTATGCTATTTGGGGTGAGAGAAAGAGAGTGTACGTGTTGGTAAATGCAACTTTCAGTGTCTGTATTCATAACAGATAGTGCGCATCTTTAAAGTATGACTAAATTTTGGGTTAAATTATACCCTGCACTGTAATAGCACAATACATTAGATAATTGCCCTCCAAAAAGGACATCCCCTTTCACTTGGCTTCCCCAAAAATTTACCCCACCCCACGTCACTGGGACAGAGTCAGGTTAGCTGTTCCCTCTGCTGCAGTCCTAACGCTAAGCAGGCTAACCGCCTCTTGGCTGTAGCTTCTTATGTACTGTACAGACATAAAAGTGGTATTGTTTTGCTCATCTAACTTTCGGGAAGAAAGCAAAAAAGTGTATTTTCAAAAATGTCCAACCATTCCATTTAAAAAACATGCAATGTTGGGTTTATTTTATGAGTACCGACTTTCCTTCACCCTGGCTTCTACTTTAATGTTTTCTTTCATTAAGAAATTCTTTAGAGAACTTGCTTATTTACCTGTAAAGTTACGTAGTAAAATTCGAGAGATAGTGATAATGAATCTGAAGTTTGAATGTTAGACTTTTGGCACTTCTATGCTGGATTAAACCTTGTTGTTGAGTGTTGATTCTGTGTCCCATGGAAGCTGTAGAATGTAGCCTTCACTTTCTGGTCCTGAGAAACAGTTGATAGTTTTACGTGCCAGAAATATTTTCTTTTTTTAAATTATAGCTATTATTTCTTGAAAGTTAACCTTCCTTGCAAGTAATATCTGCAGCAATAAAATATCTTATTGTTACGTTCAGCTCCAACACTGACATGGGAAACATGGGATTTGGACCCAGATGCAGAATACAGTCACTGGAAAGAGAAGACAGAGTTTATGGATGGAAGAGCAGCGGACCATGATCCATCATGCCCAGTCAGCTGAACCAGGTATCATGGCAGGTACAGTGATCACTCAGAAGAGAGGAAAGACAACCGGGACTTAAGGCTGCTCCTAAAGGTCTGGTCATGGGACTCATTTCATGTTGGCCAAGCAATATGTATGTGTGTGTATATACAGTATATATAGTATATATATAAATAAACAACCTTGTATGATGTACCTGGTAAACAGTGCAGCAAGCAACAAAGACGTATACGAACTTACAACCAAATAATTGTGAGACAGAGACTTAAATACCCAAGGGGGGTGGCGATAACAAGACACAGGTGACACACATTAGGGCAGGTGCAACCATCAACACAGAAACACAAGGACAGGAAGCAAGACAAGACAATAACACCAGGGACAGATCAACTTCAAAATAAAACAGGAAACATGGAACATCCCAAACCCAGAACTGTGACACTATACTAATTTACCAGTAATATCATGTGGGAGATTGTTATATAGAGGGCATTTTCCGCAATTTCGCCATTGTCTTACTCTGTTTTGTCTTCCTCTAGAAAGCTATTGATTACTGGAATAACAACAGGGCACAACTCAGAACAAGACTTTAATACAATTTACTGGGAACCTGTCTAAACCAGGTGCTTTGCTAGAGGGCATTAACCGAATGACCTTCCAAATTTCCTCCTTGCTAAAATTAACATTTGTTCATATTCTGACACAGCAGGCTGAAAGCTCCTGTCCAAGAACGTCATTAAGTCATCTCTTGAGCCTTTATTTCACTTGGAGGAGAAGAGGGATTTATAAAAATCATGAAATGTGCTATATAATGTCCAGGCGCGCATTGGAAGAAATAGGTCCAAGACTTTTTTTTTGTTCTGTTTCCAGATGATTTGCAGATAACTGGGCCTTCCAAATTGGTGGATGTTTATTAATAACTCATTTCTTGGCATGTCATGTGCAGTCAAGACTGCAGAGTTTGGATTGTCTTGCCAGTACAAAGGTGTTTTTTCTTTACAAAAGAAGCAGAATGCATCATGCTCCGAAAAAGTATTCAGTCTTCAGAAACTGATCACTCTTAAACCCCTCGCCCCCACAGTGATTGTCATGGCTTAGCAATTGTAACTAGGCATGGCAGGACTGTAAAGCTTTAAATTTTTTCAAACATGTTGAAGCGGTGTGTATGGAGCTGCAGTAAGAACTGGGATGCTGGTTTTGTTTTTTTAACCTTTTCCAACACCAAAATTACAAGAGCAAAAGTGAAAGGAATGAAATAAAGAGCGCGTTATCTGCTTCACATATTAGGATGTCTGGCTAGCTAGCTTACCAATACTATTAACCTAACCCAGCGTTATTTATGACCAGAGACATTTCATTCTAAATTATTTTGTCGGGTTACTGGTTACATATAAAAAAGCCCAATTCCCAACTAGCAATATGTAGAGTTAGTATTGCCCCACTGTGGGAGCTGGACTTGGATGCTACTATAGCTAGTTAGCAACTATATTTGCTATATCTGCTTTATTTTATCTGCTTTATTTATTTACACTCCTTAGCCAAATTCTTTATCCCAGATGGAGTTACATTTGTAAAACATATCAGTCTTGTTCTTAAAAATCTTTTCTCTTCTTTTTAGTGTAGGGGAGAGCCGGGACGAATGAAACACAGGCTTTTTCCCCGAGCCCATACAAGTCTCATATTTCAAACTATGTCAGCACATACATTATGCAACACTTACCAGAACCGCGAAAAATCAGGTGGATATGTCACACTTTCACGGAGTTATGCGGACGAAGCTGTTTTCAATCACGTGAAGTAAATCCACTCAAGCGGTAATTTTTGAATGACAAGTTGGGTTTGTTGTTTCATGTGCCATTGTCTTGATCATATGATAGATTAGTTCGTACTTTAACACATCCTGAAGTTTACAGTTTACAGTTTAAAAGCTTTATAGTCAGGAGTCACTAGCGGACGATTGAAACAGGTGCGGTCACACCCTGTATTACAGCGTTTATTTAGACTTGTGTTTGTCATATTGTACCAACAGAATATGCCAAGACCCGCGATAAGCGGTTGATGATGGATGGATGGAATATGCCAAGAGTCAGGGTCAGAACGACAGAGAGGGGTCTGATTAAGCCTGATATGTTTGAGAGGGCATTTCTTGATGTCTCAAACAAAAACATCAGCATCAGGAGTGCAGCAAAGGTCCGTGGCGTAAGCCATGCTACCCTATTTAGGTACTGCAGGAGGAGGGCAGAGTCCACTAGGCTAAAGGCTAGACCTCCAGGTTACTGGCAGCCAAATAACAGGGTCTTCTCACAGTGGAGCAGGAAAACAAGTTGCAGATTTACCTAAAAAGGGCACCTGAGATCTATTTTGGCCTGACTCCCAAAGAGGTCAGTGTAGGATATACACACTTCATTACCTACATTAAAAGTTTATAATATTCATAAATTCATACATATAAGTAAAGAAACGTATACATTAAAATAAATACAAATAATTATACAATTGCAAATTCAGAGACCTTCACCCACACATACTAAAAACTATTTTAAATGTGTTATAATGTAAAGTTCTTAAAATGTCCACATTAACCATTGTTTTCTGCTTTAGGTGCGCAAGTTTGCATATGAGCTTGCCTGCAAATATCCCTCTTCATGGGATAGAACCCAAAGGCAGGCAAGGACTGGCTCACCTACTTCCTTGAGCGTAACAGAACACTGTCCATCCGCCGTCCTCAAGCCACCAGCATGTCACGTTCCACCAGCTTTAACTGGACAAATGTAACTGCCTTTTTCAACAACTTGAAGGCAGTGCTTTCCCGCTACCATTTCGAAGCAAAGGATATTTTGAATATGGACGAAACAGGTAAAATTTAAATTTTATGAAAATGTTAAAACTACTACAAAACTCTTACTAGAACTATATACAGACGGAAATAAATAAACACACTAACTATATACACACTGACTCAGTAAAGTTCATAATTAATTTAATCATTTCAAGTCATTAAATTCATCATTTATTTTCAGGAACCACAACTGTTCAAGACCCTGACAAAATCATTGTCACCAAGGGGCAGCGCCAGGTCGGTGCCGTGACCTCTGTGGAGAGGGGGACATTAGTCACCATTGCTTTGGCCGGGAACGCACAAGGCAACTATGTCCCCCCATATTTCATCTTCCCCAGGAAGAAGTACCACGACTTCGTGAGGGATGGTCCCGTCAGTTCTGCATGGTCTGCCAGCGGCTATGGGTGGATGCAGGAGGCAGACTTTGTTGCCTTTCTCTAGCACTTCTGACACACCCGCGTGACCCTGGAGTCAAAGGTGCTGCTCCTACTAGACAACCACCATACCTTTCCGTGGCAGCCATGGACTTTTGCAGGTCACATAGTGTGGTGGGAAGGAGAGGAGGACTACACTGTTCCCATCGTCTCCAGCCGCTGGACAGGAGTGTCTTTGGTCCACTAAAGCACTACATAAACAGCGCAGCAGACAGCTGGATGAGAACACACCCGGGCAAGACACTGTCAACATATGACCTTCCAAGTCTTGTGGCCAAAGCGCTACCGTTTGCAGTCACATCAAGTAACATCTTAGCTGGCTTTGAGTGCAGTGGCATCTAGCCCTTAAACCCAGATACTTTTACAGACACCGATTTCTCAAAATGTATAATTCAGAGCACATGATTGTAGTCATAAAAGCATGATAAGTGCCTGTAAATGTTATAAATGTTTATAACCATTATTCTTAAATTGAATGTTGCAGGTCAACAGCGATCCTCACAGACACTAATGTTAAAGCAGCTTTAGAGGAGGAGCAGCGTCGAAGGGGCCAGAAGTCATCTAAGGTTCCAAAGAAAAGGCTCTCTTATGAAGGCACTGCAACTGCTGCCCCTGCATCTACCCAGAGCAAGAATGAGGATTGCCTGGTGTGTGGGGAGACTTTCAGCTCATCCTTGCCTGGGGAAGTGTGGGTGCAGTGCCTCTTTTGTCTGCGCTGGTCCCATGAGGCATGCACTGAGGGCGGAGAGCACTACATCTGTCACAACTGTGATAATGAATAAACAGCATCAGATCATTTGTAAATATTACAGTTATTTATATTGGTAGGCCTACTGTTGTTGCCACACTGTTGACAGTGCATATGGTAGGCTAATATAGTGTAGATAGTGTACTAAGTCTTTATAGCAATGAATTAATAAAAAAGGTTAAACAGTGAAGATAATATTACTAACAATTTGTGTTATAGCCCATTGTTTTACACATTGTACACTTGTTGAAGTGGAGCTACTGTTAATTTCCTCATTTTATGTGGGCTACTTTAATATATGATGTGTTATTTTATTTGTTTTAAATGTTAAATATCCAGTTAGGCCCATCTACATACACACATACACACACACACACACACAAAAACATATTGTTATTAGTAGCCTTCTGTTGTAGGCTACACTTCACTGCTACACACTGGTCCCATGAGGGCACAGATCACTCTGTCTTACTGACAATAAAATATTTTTTAAATCATTTACGCTCTTAATAGTTACTCTTCATATTGCCTACTGTCTTTATGGACTGCTGTTTAACACATTTAAACATATGCTAGGCTATGTACGCTATCTAAACTTTTTGTAGGCCTATCATTTAGCTGCCGTAATGTTAATTGTAGGCGCTGGTGACACATGTGCTACCTTAGGTTATTCATAGATTTTATTATTATTATGGCGATTATAGCAACTCTCGGGACACCGGCATTAACAGTCATGTCGATGATGACTATTATGTAACTAATACGTTAAATTTAAGTTTGCTTACATACCTGTTGACGAGTGATTTCCATGAGATTCACGTGTGAGGCTGGTGGCTGTGAAAAGGAACGACGTTATGCAGCGCCGGTGAATATAAAGGTTACACAGGAAGTGATTGGTTGACCTCGTATTTTCTAATAAATTAGCATTATTTAACTGTAAATCACTCAATATGATTAGAAGCAGGAATTTAAGGATAATCTACATTTAAGGCTGCTCTTTATATAGGTCTGAAAAGTAATAATAATTTAAAAAAAAATCCAAATGCCATAGCCTATAATCTAAATAATAAATTAATATTTTTTTAAGATGAAGGACATTATATGTTTGCAATTGCATATTAAGAAGGACAATGTCAGACATTTTTAATAAAAATGTGAGTAATGTAAAAAAAAAAAAGCATTTATACTGTTGTGTTTCATCCGTCCCGCACAGTAGGGACAATTGAAACAATGCGCACCGTCCGTTCAAAGTCAAATTAAACTGAAGTCGTTCCACATTTTTACAAGATAACACCTGGTATTGATAGAGCACACACGTAAGTTGTTGATCACAACAACAAATTATTTCTGTCTGTAACATTATCTTTTAAAATTACGTATACTGTATCTGAAAAGTGTTTCATTCGTCCCGGCTCTCCCTTATGACAGGATTTCTAACTAACTCATGGAGCTAACATTAGCTTAATTAGCTTGTAAAATCTAAAAACTGCAATCAAAAATTTTTGCGATTTCAGTTGACCAAATCAACAGTCGCTGGCTAGAAATGAGAAGTCTGCTTTTCTCTACCTCTGTTAGTTAAGTTGAGTTTTTTCTGGGGTGTAACTCTTTGTGTATGCTGTAACTCTGTATCTATGCATAAATATGTGATAATTTATAGCAGGTGAAAATATTTCTAAATTACGTTCTAATAACAAAATGTTTTTATGATTGTCATGCTGCACTCATATTGTGCATAAAAATGAGTATTTCTTGCTCAAAAGTAACTCTTCCAACTAAGTTACATTTTCTTCCTAAAAAAATACATTGGATCAATATTCAGAAAGTCCAAAGGCAGTTTTTTATCCACCCAAGAGTTGAGAGAGCACTATTCCTTCATGGCTAGATGCTTGAATGTTGTGGAGTGAGAAGAAAAAGCTGTATTGTACAACGCAAGTTCTCTGCCTGTACAGAATGCAACAGAGGATATGTTTTGAAAATGACCTGTAATACAATCCAAGCTCCCCAGTGCCTCCCCAATGGGATTCCCTCACCGGCCTCTGTTGTTTTCATTTTTGACAACATGCTGAAGCACATTTCATCTCCACAGTGAGCGACCTCCTCTACAGGATCATCCAGTACATGTTACGCTGATGTTGCTGGGCCAGGTGCCCTCGCTCAAAGGAGAACATGCACTATCAGCATGATTGTCTCTTGTGGTGACCAAACCACAAGCTTTTACAATAACAAGCTTTACGAACTAAGCTGCACATGACCAGAGTGTTTATAGCTGGGTTGTGATTATACTGTCTCATTGTGATTAGACTTTCATAACAAATCACAAATGAATGGAAACACAAAAGGGCCTTTGAACTTGTATTTATTAAGATTATGAATGAAAAGGATGTTGCAGGAGGTAAGCCTGTGCAGCAGGCTGTACACAGTGTTCATGTTCTGAAAATGTTCAATATGATTTGCTAATATTACAGTCATTGAATGACACAGTACAAAGACATTCATTATAACTAATGAATATTATGACATTTACTCCTCTGTGATGTGAGTAATGTAAACCACTGTGTAATTCTTTGGGTTATAGCCTACTATCATTTGGAAAAAAACTAAAATTTATGACTGACATATTAAGCAGTATATTCGGTATGTGTTGTAACATACTATGAATTTGCGACATAATAACAGGTAGGCCTACTGTTATGTTTTAAATCCAAACAAAAACTCCCGCACACTGTCTAACTCGCAAAAATATATATTGACACAATGCTTTGGTGCTAGATCTTCATCGGGCCAGTGGTGTTACATAGTGAGAAGCCATCTTTTGTAGGAGGTGACTATATTGTCTACACCAGGGGTATTCAATTAGAATTCAAAGAGGTCCAGTTAGAGAAAATGGTAACACTTTCTATGAAGGTCATCGCTATAATGACTTATGCATATATTTATAACACGATATAATGCGCCCATAAGACATTATAACAGTTGTTATAATCACTTACAAACATGCATTAGGCGCTATAGCAAAGTTCATAACGTATTATGACCTTTTGATTTAATGTTTTATAACGAATAGTAATACCAGTTTATATCAATGTGCGGCAAGAATCTCCAACCATGTTCCATAACACATTATAACCACCGACTCTGCCTCGTTATGAATACACTTTAGTCACAATTTAGAATTAGTGATATAAAATGGAATAATATCTGTCCACACGCTGGTGGAGACACTGTAGTTAATGTCATTGGTTAGCTGTATAGCTTCTTTAATACGCTTACATTTCCCACCTTTAGAGTTCCGTAATTAGCATTTCTTTTACCTATAATGAGCTATCTAATGTTAGCTAGCTGAGGGCCCATCATATAATTTCATTACCACTATATCCATATTTTATCTAATTGTCAGCTAACACTGGTGCTTAGGCATGAGCGAATAGAGGATTAGTAATTGTAATTTTGACAGAGTTCATTATTTAATTAGAATTTTTTTGTGATTCATTTACAATAAGCAGCCATTTGTTTTCACTCTGGAATTCAGGATTTTTTTACCTGCCCAGATACGTGTTAAAATCCAGGTTTGTTATTTCTGTATGTATTCATCTCATTCCCCTTTTCATATAGAGCAGGGAAGAAATCCAACAGTTCCCAATTCCCCAACAATGTATGACTACTGCTTTATTGAACTCACCACACGGGGCGGCTGTGGCTCAGGAGATAGAGCGGGTTGGCCGTTAATCGGAAGGCCGGCGGTTCAATCCCTGGCTCCCCCTGGTTGCGTGTCGAAGTGTCCTTGGGCAAGATACTGAACCCCGAATTGCCTGGCGGCTATTCCACCAGTGTATGAGTGAGTGTGAATGTTAGTTTCCGTTGGAGCACTTAGGCACTTAGGCTCAGTGTATGAATGTGTGTGACTGGTGAATGCAGATGTAGTGTAAAAGTGGTCGAAAAGACTAGAAAGGCGCTATACAAGTACGGAGCATTTTCATTTACAGATTACATTGCATTCAAGGTCAACGTGAGCAAGGGGAAAGGGGATACTTAGAGTAAGTTGAAACTTACAACTTGAAATGATAAGAATTAGGAATTAGAGATGGTAATTAAGGCTGTATTTTATGATAGTGTCTTTGGTTCTCGCTCAGCTTACTGTGGGTCTGACTTTCTGCCAGTTTTGCTCTAGAATACTTGGCCTCTGACTACAAAAGTTGTTGTGTGGTATGGAGCACCCATTAATTGGTGTAATGAATTTGATTTATCATCTACAGACTGATGAAATTAATTAAATAAGATTTTAGTTCACTGTCGCATGTACCTGCACTGCATTGCAAAAACAAAAATCTTAGTAAAATTAATTATCTTAATTGAAGGCAAAATATACTTGTTTTTTGTCTGACAAGATATTTCTTCTTATCAGGCGGCTTTTATGTTAGAGAATTTCACTTGTTTCAAGTTTTTTTGGCCTTTAGTAACAAGTGAAATATTCTTGTTCTGTTGGCAGACAATTTTGCTTATTTTAAGTAATATTTCCCCCATTTTAATGCATTTCTTGTTTTTGAGAGCTCAGTTTTTGCAGTGTGGGTTTCCTTTATGACCTGGGAAAAAAATAAAAAGCTGACCCCCCCAGTTGTCACTTTATAATTCGCACTCTGCCTACGACCTTCAACGCAGATGTATAAATTGGCCTTAAGAGTCTACAACCATGCAGTGAGAACTAAATGCTAACATGGTCACAGTAACAATACTAACATTATTGTAACAAGATATTTAGCTGGTATAATGTTTAGCTTTTTTCATCACTGGTTTAGCATGTTAGCATGCTAACATTTGCCAGTTAGCTGAGGCTTCTCAGGTAAGTTTACAATTCATCGTGATGGGAACCTGACTGTTTAAAAGACACCGCAATCCATCCAGGAGCTGTCATTTAACATTTACAATAGTCAGGGATCAGCTATGTCAGTATGCTTTGTCCTCTGTAGGTCAAATCTGTATGTAATATAATGACTCTAGTAGGGTTGAGATACTGCTGAACCAAAGTGTTGGACAGACAAACTCTCTAGTGAAGCCATACGTTTCGACATGTATTGAGGCTTACATACAATAAACATTATGTATATACAGTACAAATTTTTATATACATTTAGTTGACGCTTTTATCCAAAGCAACTTACTCAGGGACACAATGGTGGATGTCTCACAGTGGGAATTGAACCCAGGTCTCTCACACCAAAGGCAAGCATCATATCTATGCACCATCACCACCCCTATACCAGCATTGAATTTCTTTGGTTTACCTATGTGGTTAAAGAAACTATTTACGGTTCTGCTTACTCTGCTGGACACAGATTAGAGCAGAAGGTGTTCATTAATACTTTTTTCTCCTTTTGCCCTGCAGCAAATTTTTCTTCAAAAGGTAGGGTGCACAGCTAAAGCTTCCTTCGCCTGCAACGGCTCCATCTGGGCACCAATGACAAGTGGGTGGAGAGAAAGAGAGAGAGAGTGACCAGAGTCCCTCCCCAAAGTCAGCTCTGTAACAGAGACAGATTGCAGTGGGAGGGACATGTCCCATTTCTGAGTGTGAGTGACATTGAAAGCAGACGACAGCGTGATGCGCGGTGAGAGAAAGAGACACAGAGCCCAATGTAACACTGCACTCAAAAAACAGAGTTTTTTTAGGGCAAACCAAACCTGAAACTATTTGTTGAGATCTGACAGCTGCTTTGCAAATTCACCAGTCTGTTTTGTCCAATAATACCGTGAAGTCGAATCGAAATTTACATTTTTCTCACTTCTTGGGTAAGAAAATAAATTACAGTGATATTGCAGAAGATGTTAGTTAGATTAGATGATAACATTTGATTCCCTACAAGATATTACTTTTTGTCACCAGCTGAGTCATCAGCAGTACAT